TACTGGACTGCTGCCTGTTTCTTTAAAATTGAGATTTATTGCTTATTTCATTTAATTGTTATATCATGTTTTAATACATATAATTTTAATTATATAAAAAGTTTTTGCATGATTTTTTTAGAAAAAAAGTTCTTAACTTCTTTATACCATTTGAATTCTTAAGATTTTGAAACGGGAAGCAGGTTAATTTATTTATTAGGATAATTAATATTGTGTATTAAGGAAATTACTTATTTCATTGTAATTTTTTACACATAATAAGTGTAATTGATTTATTTAATATTAGTATTATTTATTATTAATATATATATATATATATAAATTTGTTCTGCAGAGAAAAATTCTGTGTGCAGCTTTTAAATTTGATGCTTTGTGTTCCCTTTAGGCATTTTACATTTAAAAGCCAGACGAAGGCTGGTCTTGTATGGCTAATTAACAATATTTTAATTTCACCATAAACATATTTCATTTACACATTTAAAATACTCTTAACAATGATACTATAAATCATCAATAATTTTAATAAGTATGATGCTTTAGCAATATTCCCAACTAGATTTGCCTAAAAATATTAATTTTCATGTTTAGAATTTTTATGTTTATTTGTATTGATGTAACAGAACTATTTTATCGAACGCCATCTAGTGGCGACGAGAAGAACTTCCAGCTGCGATGACGATAGGTTTTCAATATTACATGTCCGTGACTCCGAAAGTTAATTCTAAATGTTAGGTGTTCCCTTTTGGTTATGTTCTGTTTTGATGTATATTTTCTTTTACCAGTTTCTGGGCTCTGTTAATCGCTTTTAGAGTTAGCCGGCGTTTGTGTTTATAGAAGTTGTTACTGACACATATCGAATATAACTCGCATATTGTACTTTAAAAGACAACATTCTAAAATATTCTCACAGTTAATATCTGTAATTCATCAAAAGCTTTAAATGAATACAAATAGCTGACTTTAACAATATTTAAAACCTTCGTTTCGAACATTCTCGGCGGTAACACATGTGCCTCATTAACAATTCTAAAATGAGTAAAAATGGCAAACGTTAACAATATTTCAAATTAACTAACATTTTAGTAAATAAATCAATTTTCACATTTTTTGGCATAATTTACAATTCATACATTTATTCATATTAACATAAATCGAAAGTACCCAATATATTATGCTTAGAATCTAAAACAGAACTAAAAAAAATGGTGCCATCGAATTACTTGTTTGGGCAGGAAATAAGAAACAAATTAATTTCTCACCTCTGGGATTATCGCAGGTATCTAGTCTTCTTATTCTCTATTTTGAAGAACCGTTCTTCAATGCACATGTTCGGTTTTGCTAACTTCGTCCCTCGTTGTAGAAAACTAAATAATCCGTAAAATATAGGTTCAACTCAATGAAGGTACTAGCTTCACGATAGCATATTTTTGTTTTACATACACGCGCACAAAAGTATAATAAATAACATTCAACATATTAAATTATGAGTAGAATTATCTCCTGGAAACAACGCATATACTTCTTTTTACCTTCGCCTCAATTCAACTGTTCTTTTTGGCAAAGTTTTTCATTGGCGCCTCCGCGCTAATGCCCATAGTTGGCGAAGTTCGCTTTCTTGGCGTTTGTTTTTGCTTTTTAATCTTACATTCTTCGCCTTTTACCCCAAATAAAATTCGACAGCAAAATCATACATTTTTTAAAAATACCATATCTTTAGAATTCACGATATAAAGTTAAGAGTTGCCGTACATTTTTCTTATCCTTATTTCCGAACCTAACGTTGTGTCCAGTCACTTTTGGGGTCTGTTTCACTTTTCAAATAATTAGCCGTTGGAGCGAGAAGTCGATTAATATAGTTACTATAAAAAGAAAAAAATATATATGTAATGCTTTTACTAAATCCAGCTAGTGTCATTTCATGGTTGCAATTACTAATTCGTAAAAAAAGATAAAAAAAACTGCGTTTATTGCTTTTAAATTGCTTAGCTGTTTCATCAGCAACTGGCAGACTGAATTTGAAAAAGAAATTAAATATCTCAACTTCAACAAATAGCAACAAAGTAACGTGTGGACGTTGACAATGTTTATATCGAATAAGAATCCATTAGAATTCTCGATAAAGTGGTTATTGTTGCCATACATTTTTACTTCCTTGTACAAAGTAAAAAGGAAGTATTGTAATCGCGAAAAATTTCGCTTACCAGATTTCAACAAAAATATCTATTTGAAGTATTTTTTTTTTTAATGATGTCTGTACGCACGTGCGTTGGTGGACTCGTTATTCGAAAACGGACTGTAAAATGGATTCGAAATGGAGTTTTTCTTGACGTCTGTACGTTCGTTTTATCTCTAGCGCGCAAGACTGTGTATCGGAAATTCTAAAGATATCCTGTTTTTAAATATTTTGTGATATTGCTGTTGAAATGAAATTTATGTGGTTTAAGTGCGAAGAACATGATATTTAATAAATAAAGGTAAACCGCAAAACGTTAAATAAACGCTCTTTTGGACGTAATATAAAATCGGAAAGCTTCCAGATTTTTTTTAAATCAGAAACGAGTAGAAGAAAATGTACAAACCTCGTTCCGCCGATGTAAACAAAGTTTCAGGAAGGGATTTATGATTGTCGCAGGATTCTCTTATGCAGGGAAATTAAAAGCAAGAAGAGTGGGGAAAAATTCTATAATCATCACGACATACTATCAAGAGAAAGTTTTACGTCCGATGTGTACAGAGCAAATTCCATGTCTTCATCCCGGTGACTTTCAAAGAGCTAAATTTCGTTAAGCAACAAGTTATACTTCGAAAAGTACCACTGCATTCCTTGAAAAAATGAAGGCTGAAACAGGTATTGCATTTCCTGCGAAGTCCCCTAACGTTTCTCTTACGGATTCTTGTGTTATGTCTCGAAAAGAGTTCTTTCTAAACGCAAACCTACCACAATGATGAACCCTTGAAAGCATTGAAAGGGAAATGGAAATTTTATTTAAAAAAAAAAACCTTCTATCAATGAAATCACGATACAGGTTTATAATCGACAAAATGGCTATCAGATCGAACATTTAAGTATATACATATATGTATTTTACGTTTCACAAAAATTTAACAAATATTCTCTATTCGTATAAAGCTAATATAAATTTAAAATTTAATTAAGAAATTTAAATTGCAAAAATAAGAAATTAAATTAATTAATTATTTATTATTAATTATTGCTGCGAACTAATTTACAATATCATTTAAATTCTAAGAGCATACGTAAATTAAGTACACGTATATATATATTCCAAAAAAATATAATATTCCAAAAATTAATCTAAAAAAATTTTTTTAAGGAATTTCTAAGACCAAATTAAATTGCATAAGTGAATAATTGTTAAGCAAGCAGGAGGTAGAGTTATCAAGGGAAAGTTTGCCTCCAAACCTAACTCTTCAGTTACTCAGTTCGTGTTTCGTAACCCATATAGGCAAGGGTAAAAGTAAAATTCAAAACCAAATGTTATGAATTACAAAAAAGAATTTTAAACTAGTAAGAATTCTGAGAAATTTTGAGAAAGTAAATAGTAATTAAATGTCAATTAAGAGTAGAAAACCAAACATTTTTAGAAAACCAAAGTAATTTAGAAACTTTTGCCTATTGAAAACTTCCCCTACACGAATTATGCATGTAAACCTAAAATAAACTATATACAATCATCAAAATATGATAATAAAGTAGTAAATAGCAAGTTTTAATTTAACTTACCTAGAACTACATATTTAAATTCCTGAGTGTGGACAAGTATTTGTTAAACTAGGTGAAGTTGAGTAGTTTGTTACTGCTAACTGTAAAAATAGAGGGCGCTAATACAAGGTAAAATAGAGTGTTAAGCTGCTACCTGCGAGAGCTATTGTAAAAACCTATGTGTTAAACTTTAAAGTCAAAATGTAAATGTTTGTTTGGTGTGCAAATGTTTAACTTTGACGCATTGTAAAATGTGTTAAAAAAGTAAAATTGTGAACTGCTATTTTGGAAAATAGATGTTTGCAACTACTAAAAAATGTAAAAAATTAAAAAAAAATCCAAAAATTTTCAGAAATTTTTTTTAGTAAATTAAAAGTTCAAATATTCATTTTAATTAAATTTTATTTGAAGTAGAAAATTTTTAATTTTTTAATTTTTTTAAATTAAAAATTCTTACAATAATAGAGAGTTATTGTAGGATTTTTTTTTTTTTTTTTTTACTAGATGCATTATTTAAAATTGTGTGTGGGGTGATTATGGCAAAGCCTCGGGGCTATTGCCTAAGATGAGGAGGCCTTCGTGCGACTTTCTAGGGAAACGGCTCTATACACGTTACACATGGGGAAAACCGCGAAACGCCCATGCAGAAGCCCGTTCGCGGAATTCGAACCTCGTACCGAAATACCAGTGTTCAGCGACTTCGACTCGGCCGCTGATGGAATATTAAAAATTGAAGTTCTACAAGTTTAATCAAAACTTTAACTAAATACTGGCCAAAGGTAAGGAAAATTAGATAAAAATCTTCACTCAATTCGGGCTATAATTGAGACTTTTGAAAAGAGTTGGCTCTTCATTAGTAAAGGAAATAATCCAGTATTGATAAAATATACATTTTTACAAATAATCAATTAATATTTACAAGTAATCATTTAACTCATCAAAATCCTCCTTGCAATTAAAATTTCTTAATTAAATTTTAAATTTATATTAGCTTTATACGAATAGAGAATATTAGTAAAATTCAAATTATACTTTACGTTTTAAACATTAATTAAAAGGGCCCCCGAAATCTTTCTAAAACTGAGGAAACACCCTCTCTAATTTGCAAGAAATGTATTCTCGGGCCGCATAAAACTGCTTCGGCGGTGATCAGTTTGAAACAAATAATTTATGATGTAACCTATTAACATACAACTCGGTGAGTTTCTGCACGCGCTATTTCTTTTAACGCATCTTTCTTTTTTTTTTTTTCAGTTTTCGTCGTCTTTTAATTCTTACCTTTCTTTCAGAATTATAATTGTGTTCGTAATATTAAGCTTCGCTATTTGGAGCTGTATAATAATTTACTGCATATACCAGAAATGCAAACCAAAAACCGACAGAGGAGAGAGTAACCATGTGGAGGAAAGCAGCGGGAGCAGATATCCAGCTTTTGACATTCAAGTAATGAAACCAATGCATTTCTTTTATGTATTTACTTTTTTCACATTCTTCCTAAATTAAATGCTGTTTCGGAAGAGAATGAGCTGCGAATGTATACACTGCACAAAAAAAAGGGGGAGGACAGTTTTATATCTCTCGGTTTACTGGGCTTATTGACGAAATTTAACTAGAGTTGTTCATATTACAAAAGCGAGACTGAGGCTACATATTAGATTTATATATAGCATTGTTCTAACGTAGGTATTTTGGCACAAAATCTTACTTTTTCTGAAATAACATACCAATTTTCTTCCATATTTCGATTCTATGACTCAAATTATGCGTACATATTAAATTTTGTAATTTTTGGTGAGAAATTTACAAAGAAATTTTAAAATTTATCTTGGCGCATTTTTTCAATTTGCGCCAAGAATAATTCACTCGGCGGAACTTTTAATTTAGCATTTAATAATTTTAAATAATTTATAAATTAATTTTTATTATTAATTAATTAAATTATTAATTTATAATTAAAACATTTTTGCAACCTATTTTTCTTTCTTTTTTTCGTTGTACACTAGCGGAAAAAATTTCATCGTTCATACATTCAACTAATTTTAACAAAGTGCGTAAACCACGTTTGGCGTTATTATCGCTTATAACAAATATGCCAATATGTAAATTCACGTAAATCTTTAGAAATTTTCAATAAAAAGTTTTTCTGGCAGGTGTGCTTAGATAATGGTAAAAATTTCATAGATTATAATTCAAAAAATTCTTCGAAAAATTTATAAAATTTATTTAAAAGTACAAATTTTAAAAATAAATCAGAAAAAAATGGAAGAATTTTTATTTGGAATGAACCCAAATTTTCAAATGTGAAAGGACGAATCAAAATAAGTTTAATAAAAAAGGGATATTAATAAATAATATATACCAAATTCAAAAACATTGTTGCTAAAATTCATTGCTGAAATTTAACTTGCATTTTCCATGTCTCGGTGATTGGTGAATTTAATTATAGCAAAGCACACGAGGGCTATCTGCCTAAGGGGAGGGATGCCTTCGTGGAGGACTTTCTAAGGGAAACTGGCTCGTATACACGTTACACATGGAGAAAACCACGAAAATACCCATGCAGCCAGTCCGTTCGCGGGATTCGAACCTCAGACCGAACTACCAGCGTTCAGACCGACTTTACCGCTCGGCCGCTGGTGGGCCCTTTCCATGTCTCGAAAGCGCGACTTAGGATTTATATTAGATTGATATATAGCACTGTTCTATCAGTATTTTGACACAAAATTCGACTTTTTCCTGAAATAACACACCGATGTTTTCCCATATTTCGAGTCTACGACTCAAATTATGCAAAAGTGGAAAGTTTTGTAAAAATCGCACGAGTAGTTTTTAAAAAATTAACTCTCAAAATGTTAGCTTCTCAATGTTAATTGAATTTGATATATATTTATTAATATCTTTTTTTATTCAATTCACATAGCTCCTTCTTTCTCAATTCGAAATTTAAGTTTAATATAAATAAAATTCTCTGCTATTTTTTTATCTGTGTTTAAAATTTCTATTTTTTAGCATTTTTTTTTTTTTTTTTATTTTCCCAAAAAATATTTTTTGTATTATAGCCTAAAAATTTTGCCATCATTTCTAGGTACACCTGCAAAAAATTAGTGTTTCTTATTCAAAATTTCCCAAGATATACGTGAATTTGTATATTAGCGTGTTTTGAAATTTCGCTTATTTGTTATAAGCTATAATAATGCCAAATATGGTTTATGTATTTTTTTAAAATTAATTGAAAGAATAAACGACGCACCTTTTTTTTTCCTCTCGTGCAGTGAAAGGAAAAAGAAAATAGGTCACCATAAATTAAAAATTTTGGCAAGTAAATTATTTTTTGCACAAAGTGAAGAAAATGCGCCAAGATAAATTTTTAAATTTTAGGGTAAGTTTCTTACCAAAATTTACAAAATTTAATATTTCGGAACAATTTGAAACGTATAATCGAAATATGGGAAAAAATTGGTATGTAATAGCAAAAAAAGGTCGGATTTTGTGTCAGAATACCTATGTTAGAAAAATGCTGTTTATAAATCTTATACATGTCCTAAATCGGGCTTTCGAGACAGGAAAAGTGCAAGCTAAATTTCATCAATCGGTGCAGTAGAATGGGAGCGTTCTCTCCACCCCTTTTTCGGGGCGGGGGTGCAGAGTATACGCATTTGTGCATTAGTTTGCTTTTTATGAAATACAGGTAGGCGAATGAAATGTCATAGCCTTTGTTTTGTATTACCCATTTATTTATCATACGATTTTTTTTTTTTTTAATTCGACTGGAGTTCGAATTATCGCGACTGAGCACTACACTTGTTTACCTCAATCCAAACCACGTTACGACTGCGCATGAGGGTTAGTACGCTTGCTGCTACTATCCAGCGACCCCCCCTCCCAATATAACTGTGCATCTTCAAGCAATTTTGTGCCTTTTCGAATCAATTTCTTATAAATTTATTAAGAATAAGTTTTAGGAAAATTAACAAAGACAGTCAAGCAACGAAAAAGATAGTTAGGATCAACATAAAGGCAAAAGAAGGATTATTGAGAAGTATAAAGATGGCATGGCTGTTCGGAACTCGGTTATTCCGTGCCATATTCCGAACGCGATGGTGTTTACGATTCTGAAAACTAAAAACGCTTTTGAATTGGCTAACGGTTTGGTTAGGTTTACTCAATTATGGCAAAGCACACTAGGGTTATCTGCCTTAGGGAAAGGAGGCCTTCGTGGAGGATTTTCTGAGGGAAACTGGTGCGTATACACGTTACACATGGGGAAAACCACGAAAATGCCCATGCAGCCAGCCCGTTCGTCTGGATTCAAACCCAGATCGGAACTACCAGTGTTCAGCGATTTTACCGCTCGGCAGCTGGTGGATCGAATTGGCTAACGTTACAGAAGGGGTGATTACCAAACAAAGATCAGAGACGTTAGAATTTGTTAAGAACTTGCTTTTGAACTTGGTCAGCAGAAAAATATTTATGTCCAGTATCACGTACAGTGCTTCATTTATATAATGTGTATTTCACCCAGTGCATTTGTATTTTAGTACTGAACATTTTTATAATAAGAAGAATAGAATTTTTTATAAGAACGAATTAAGTATTTAGAATTTTTTATAAGAACGTATTAAGTATTTAGAAGAAAATTTTTTAAAAGGATAAACGGATTAATTATTTTAATAATTTAATTAATTAATATAATTTTTTATAAGATTGGATTAATTAATTTTGATTTCGTTTTAATATAATTTTTTATTTTAATTTTTATAATTTAATTAATTAATTATAATTTTTAAGAGAACGGATTAATTATTTTTATAATTTAATTTATTCATTATAATTTTTATAAGAACGGATTAATTATTTTTCCTTTATTTCTTATTGGAAAAGTTAGTTTGGCATATGTCCAAGGAACTGGATCGGGTTAATGATGTATACTGTATCCCAAAAGGAGTGCCTAATTAGCAGTTTGAGCATGGAAATTCTTAGTGCACAATGTGTGCACCATTTTGTATCGCAACTTCTTGCAAGCGAAACTTTTTATTTATCACAGCGCTTTGACAGACGTCTTCCGAATTGCACACCACGAGAGCAAGATAAAAGACCTGAATTCCGCTACATTTCCAGACTTCCTCACGAATACCTTATAAGGTGTATGTAATTTTATAACCGTTATTTTTAATTTTAAAACCCTTTCCTTTCAATTCTTGTTTCCCTCTCCCAGCTCCCTACCAGAATGAGTTTCTAGAATCACGTTGAATGTAAATGAGTTATTAGTATTTAAATGAAGTTCTACTTACTTCAAAAGACAGTGCTTAGGAGGGCAGCTAAAACCCGGCCGTCGGGAATTGAAAAAATTCAGCCAGTCAGAATAAGCCACCGCCGGAGACTGTATTTGGGGACCAATTTTTATGACAGCTATTGAAGTTTTGTTTTGAATTTATTTTCCGCTCATATGCCTCTTTTCGTGTCTTTTGATGCCGTCTTTTTACAGAGAGCATTTAATTTTTTATCACCAAGTAAAAAAATGCACATAAAAAAGGCTCTCTTAAGTTTTCCCGTGGCAGAAGATACTTGCTTTATTATTATTATTATTATTATTATTAGTTAGTAGTAGTATATTGTAGTTATGTTATTATTATTATTATTGTTATTATTGTATTATTGGTTATTATTATTGTTATTGTTATTATTATATATTGGATTATGATTATTATTGTTATTATTATTATTATTATTGTTATTATTATTATTATTATTTATTATTTATTATTATTATATTATTCTTATTGTTATTGTTATTATTATTATATTATTATTATTTTTATTATATTTTATTATTATTATTATTATTAGTATTATCATGTGGTGTTGTTGTTGTTGTTTGTTGTTCTTAATTTTTCCGATTTAGCAAACAAGCTTGATACTTTTTTTTTCTTCCTTACAACAAGAAATTTAATTTTTTTAACTTTTTCTAAAATGTATTGAATTTTTTATGTGATGTTTGTTTTTTAAAAATGTAACACATTGAATAAATTGTTTGCACAAATCTCAAACATACTGTATTTTTGAACAAGCTTAATATGTGATTTTTTAAATTGTTTTGTGTATCTAATAAAATCTGGAATTCTCTCCCAATTTCAACACATAAGATACGTACATAATACGTTAGGAAAGTCTTCCAATTTTTACATTTGAGTCTCTGTTCAATTAAAGCACGTACCTGATTTATATTTGATTTCCAAAATAACATTTTCTTACACAAGACTAAGTGCAACACTTTTACAACATGTGTGAAAGATTAATGCATATAACAAATATATTTTTAGAAAAAAGGTTAGTAGCATAACATGAGGAATGTAAAATGTGAAGATCTTTGTGATGTATTATATATTAGATATATGCAGTTCATAATTATCTGAAAAAGGGCCCATGAGTGGTAAGACTGGTGA